CCACCGGCGCGGGGGAAACCAACGGGGGGCGTGGGGGGGGGGGGCAGGACCCTACCACAGCAAGAGCGCGGCGGGGGGCGGAACGCGAGGCTGGCTTTGGGGGCTTTTGTGGGCCCGTCGTGGTGGGACAGGAGGTCAGGCCCGGCTGTATCCCCAGGAGCAGCGGGGCTCTCAGGGGGTCTGGGCCCCGGGGGTCGTTGTCGCTAGCTGGGGAGCAGCCGGGTTCAGCGGGGTGGGTCCCCTTTCTCCCATCTGGGTGTCCGGAGCAGGCCGAAGACCGGGGCGCTGCGTGCATTTGGCACCAGTCAGGCCCGTGGTGCCCGGGCCCTTTGCTGGGTGGCCCGGGGGGAGCGTCGCAGGGCTTGTAATTGCAGGGGCGGGGGTGGTTAGGTTTCTGCTCAGCCGGCTTTGCTTTTTTTTTTTTTTCCCCTTCCCAGGTTTGGAAGTTGGTAATGGCAAGTCTCCTTTGTAACTCCTCTGCAGTACTTTACCAGGCAGATCAAGCGTGATGTTGTCTCTAACACGTAGTTTCCTGTGACAATCTACTGCTTTCTCCTCTGTCTTCCCATTGGTTGTGTGTGTTAGGAAGTTGCACAGCCTCATTACAGATCTGCAGAGCTGCGTCTCTCAAGCGTATCTTGAGAACCTGACGTCCACACTGTGTATTTCAAAGAGCTATCTCAGAGTAGTTCTGTTCTAGTCTTGTGCGCTGAGTCCCCTCAGCAGTTGAGGACAAGTTTGCTATGTTCCTGGAGTGCATCTCCCAGTTTAGTTTTGTCCAAAAAAACCTGGTTTACAGGTTTTGCTTACACTCCAAGACTGTTCCATGACCCTACCAGAGCATGGTAGATAGGTACTATCAGGAGACTTGCTTCAAAAAATGAAAGTACAATGTGAACTAGAACGTTAATGGTATACTTGGCCTTTGTGGACCACCTTAAAATAAGAGGTTTTGTACAATTTTTCCTTCTGTAAGTGATTGAGTGGAGTTCTTTGTTTTGGCAGTGGAGATAACTTGTGAAATGGTGTTTAGAGTTTGTCTGAATATGGAGTAGCATTACAGCATTCATATAAATCTATTTTTATGTGTAGTATAGCACACTGAATCTTTGTTTCCAAGGTTACCAAGATTAATAGAGTTATTGTTTCTGAATGGCTAGTTCTATTTTCATATATTCTAATGTTTCTTACTTGACCAAATTAACCTTTCAGCCACTACTGTATGTTCTGGACATTGACTAATAGGAAATTGCGAAGGACTGTTGTGGTGTTGTTTTGTTTAAGAAGCTGTTGTGAGTGGGTGTGTCCCTTAGCTTGTTTAATTCCAAGGGTAGCTTGCATGAGAACAGTGTCACCCACGCGTACTGTCTCTAAGTCAAAGTTGTGTGATCTGGTGTAAACAAAGATAAGGTGCAATTCCACATCTGTTGTGATACCAAAAAAAAAAAAAAAAGACATGTTAATGTAGGAAATCTTAAGATCTGGGTCTTAATGTTGAGTATTTTCTCATGTAGTAATAAAGATTAAACATATTTTTGTTGCTAGTGTGTTATGTGCAACTCGTCTGAAGCTAAGCTTCCAGTTTGATAATGATCCCAGATTATTCTGCTGTTCTTGCTCTAGGTTTGATCTCTGATCTCAGGCAAGATAGGAGAATGCTTCAGTGTGTCTCAGCTAACAAATGCCTAAAGTCCCAGATATCCTTCATTTCCTCAAATAAGAGAATAGCTGACACTTACGTTGTTTAAAAACTTGTAACCCTGTGTGCAGCAGCAGCTACCTTGCAAAAACGGCGTTTAAGATGGAGCAGAGGAACTCTGAAGTGAGGATCTGTGCACTCTGAACATGGTGGTTTTGTATTGCAGGTATATAGGAATGGAAGCAGCCATCGCGCAGAATGAAATATTCGGCTCTTAACAGTTTTGGAAGTTTTAGTTTTTGTTGAATATCACTGTGTTAGTGGTGCTAAGTTCAAATAATACTCATGGTTGAATACTGCTGTTGTCAGTGACTGTTTCTGCTATTTTGAATCTGTATATCATTTTGGAGTGGCTTTGGTTGCCTTTGTTCTATAAAAGGGATAGTTTGGGAATCCTTGCTCCAGGTGTGATTTTTTTGATATAGAAGATTCTATAGAAATCAAACCCTGAGTGACCTTATCAATATTCCTTATCCTGATAGATTTTTCTTTTTGAATATTCAATCATTCTTGCAGCAAAGTAAGCTGATTTTCTCTTAGCTTTACTTCAGCAGAATACAAAGCATTGGATAACAATGTTGTGATTTTTTAAAATTTTTTTTTTTTTTACACTGTTTTCTCTGTTCTACCTCATGTGAGTCCATTTGAACTCTGTTAAACACAGTAACCCCATTCCGGTCTCTCCCTGACTCAAAAAAGGATGTCTGTGTGTTTGTGGTAGCTCCCCATTGAAACATAACATTTTTATCAGTTGTGCTTTCCTGATTTAGATGTAATAAACATAATTTGACATTTTCCTTCATGGTGTTTTTGTAAACAATCTAACAGTCAAATAAAAGCATGCCACATCTGGTGCTTTACTCTTATCTCCTGAGCCAGCTACCAGATCAGTGAAGGAAATCGAAGTGATGTGGTGTGATTTGCATTTGACAGACCTGCTATTCACCTTTCATCAGTTTATTATCTTATACATATTCTTAAACCGATTAACAATTTATTCATCTGTGTTTCCCCGGACAATAGATAAGATGATTGCTTTGGATTGCAGATACCTGGGGCGAGAAGTCTTGCTTGCTTTTTCCCCATCATCTTACCCTCTGTGAAAACATGAAGATAACTGATAGGCTGAGTTCTTTCTGTGTGATTTTGCTTAAGAAACTGAGGATGAAAGAACTAAGGCTTGATTTGGCCTTTTTGTCTGGAATCTGTCTGTTGGTTGTGGGATTACCTTCTCTTTAATGGTATACAAAAACTAATGTAGTCATTCAATTTGAAATTTCATGCTGGGCAGAATCTTTCAAGTCTCTTGGATGTTCTGGATGTATGCAACTGCTTCTCTTTTGCTAGGGCATTATATTATAAATGAGGTACTGTAAGACTAACAGGGATTGGATGTTTTATAGAGAGATTTCTAGAACCTTAGCTTGTATGTGCTGGCTTTGCAAGATTAACTGCTCTGTTTCCCATGATTCCAACTTGCTAGGATTCTTTCTTCAGAACTAGAATAAGTCTGCAACAAGTCAAATCAATCTTTTTGTTTTCTGCTTACAGATGATATAATTAAACTGAACAAGAAAGAAGAGAGAAAACAGTATTCCCCCAAAATGAAAAGAGGGCTTCAGCAGAATCGAACTCGACAGTTCAGGACACCAGGCTCCAAGTGGGGAATCCAACAGCAGAAAGGTGTGTATGTCAAACGTAATGTGGATTGTGTAGTGGGTTTTATTTTTTGTGCAGAAATGTAACCTTATGAAAATGTATGGATGGGCATGGTTAATTCAGGTGTCTTTCAAATAGTGTCATTTGCAGTTTTGTTTGTAATTCAGTTCTTTGTGATCCCTTTATGTTTGGTTTTGTTTGTGGTTTGGTGTGAGAAAGTCATTGACGTGTTGGGCCAACAGGGAACTTAGGTGCTTGATGGCCTCTATTTGACTCAAGGAAGATTGGCTTTCTTTCTGATTTTTTTAAATTTATTTTAATTTTTAACATTGTGTTGATACTTTGTCCCTTCTCAGAGATGGATAGAAAGAGTGCTTTTGCCAAAGCTTGTGTATTAGGAAATGTGGAGGCCTTGCCAGAGCTCAGAATTTTGTGCAAAACAGCCAGCATATTTTTATTTGTGAGGTAGAATTCTCCTAGTAGGCCTCGCCAAAATAGCTGTTACTGCAGGCTGTAATGCTGCCTCTGGGATTTATAAATGGATAGTGCAGAGTGTTTGAGTTGGCTTTTCTTGTTAAGACCTTGGGATGCAAAGGAAGCACCATGTCAGCCTTCTGAAGCCAAAGTTTTTACAGTGGAATATAGAAGTGGGAAAAAAATCATACAAGCAGGGAGTGAAGAGAGGAAAAGTGCATGATAAGAGCTTTACTGTCAATTCCCTGAGTAACTGGGGGGGAGGGAGAGGGGACGGCGTTGATAAATGGGAGTCTTATTGTAAAATAATTCCCAGGTTTTAGTCTAGTACGTTGCCAGCACTTGCTTGAAGTGTAGACTTGGTTTGCTTATGCTTAATTTTGAAAAGTATCTTTCTAGCAGTGGATTACGAAAATACGGAAAAATACTGTCTAATCAGAAAGCTTACCACCTCAATCCAAGCTAATGAAGTGTTTAATACATGCAATTTCTTGTTTAGTAGCATTCATTTAAAACAAATACAAATCTGTCTCCTGTATTCACAGTGATCCCCATTTTATCTTTGTTGTTGCTTAATATTTGTTGTAGCAGCAGCTTGTAGTTAGCATCTTAGACACAAATGTCTTTGGGGATCAGTGGGATGTCATGTTGTTTAGTGCTCAGAGGAGTTTTGCTTTTTATACAGGCCAACATAGCAGTGGTACTTAATTTATGCATCTTTAGTATATTGCTGACAGTGCAGGAAAGTATTTTGCATCGGTCAACCCCAAGTATAAGAATATTTGTATAGGTAAAAGAGTAAGTGAATTTAAATTGTAAATTATCAAGCATCTAGACTTCTATTTATGACTGCAGTTGTCAAATGCAATTTTTTATGATCCAAAGGGCACAAAAGAAGCAAGTATTAGAATTAGAGTTTTAGGAGGAACTTGAGCTGCAAATATAAAACTCTAAATACAACTGTCTTGGCAATTACTTTTCTCTCTTGGAACCTTCCCTCCTTGCCTGCCCTTGTTCTAGGAAAAAGCAAACTTTTTTTTTTTTTTTAAAAATTGACAGATTCATGACATGATGAAATGTTGTGAGTAGCTTTAATTGCTCCTCCCTATACAACTCCACAAATTTTCTCCCACTGAAAGCAAACCTCTTTTATGTTGTTTTTTGAGCAGAAGTTATCATTGAATAGTTCTTCTGAGCATTCTAGTTATTAGTAGCTTATGACCAATAGATTTATTGCTGCTTCATTGCCCTTGAAGTTATTCTGATAAGTAGCAAATCCTGTTGTTTGTGGACAGCTACAGAAACCACAAATGATCAACAGCATTCAATTCATTGTGGTTTTAGAAGTGGCTGCCAAACTCTCTGGCAAGAAGTGAGGAACTTGAGCTGGGACTCTTTTCAGCTTTTGGGGGAAGAAACAGAGAGAGGAACATTGTTCATTTAAATAAAAGTTGTCCTTGGTGATACACAGAATGCAACTGCACAAAACCCTCTGCAGGCTGAGCTAACTTTGAGGTTGTCATTTATTTGAGCAGAGGTTGGTCCAGAGAGTTCATGAGGTCCCTTTCAGCCTAAGTAACCCTGTTTCTCAGCTTTTCTGTTTGAAAGGAAGAGCATTTGGTAACCATCCGCAAGATGTGGGTACATAGCAATTTCTCCATGGCAAATTTATCTAAGCTGGGTTCTGATTGATGGCTTACCTCATGTGATGGCTCCTGTCGTGTGAAGAAGCACATATTTATTATCAATGCTATGAAGTTAGATATGTCAAAGTTAGATGTCTGTTGCTGTAGAGCTGACTCCTTAGTCTTAAATTTATCTTGCAGTCTGAGGCTCTAAAGAGGAGGATACTTGGGTATAAAACTGAAGCATGGTCTGTATTCATAGTGTGAAGCTAAATGGCTCCAGACAGGGTTAACCAAACCTTTGTAACTGGAGATTTCAGATGTTTATACCACAGACCTCAGACTTACAAGCCTTTTATATTCAAAGGCTGCTTTCAATTCTCAGTTTTGTCCAGACTGCCATGCAGACTTCTAATTGAAAACACTTTAAATGTGATGTAATTCATATGCTGTTTATTATGGTTTTGTGGGCCAATTGCTGTATTCTTTTTTTCTTAGGTCATGTCTTGGGAACCACAGATCTAAACAAATAAGCTTTGAAGTTGCTTTTTTTTTTTTTTCCTTTTCTTTTCTTTAAATTAAACTGGTAATTTAGAGTTTGCTGAATGGGTGGGGAGCTGTTTGGTTTTTTTTCTGGTGGTGGTTTGGTTTTTTATTATTCAGCACTTAATGAAGTTCCATTTCAGAGTATTTTGGTAGTTTTCTATGCCAGAGTGACTCTTTAAGTTGTCCCTGTAGACATGTCAAATAACAAATTTTCAACAGTAATTAATGCTATGAACTAGAGCAAAACTGTGATCTGTATGAGAAGCTGATTATTCTTGTGCTAGGGCTTGGGCCAGACCTGCTGAAATAACTGAATGATAAAATTGTCTTCAAGTGTAGTGATAGCTTCTCCTCTAAGGCATGAAGTGTGCAGCCAAATAACTTGTGTTGCCTGCGTAGCATCTTAAAGCAATAAGCTTTTTCTTTCAGTAAGAATTGTTGAACTCTTCATGCTTGTTGCAGGTTATGGTAAAAATCGTTTGGGACGCAGAAAGAAGATAGCAGGGAAGAAGCGTTCTTACGGAGTTATAACTGGCTTGGCAGCCAAGAAAGCAATGGGTTCGCGCAAAGGAATTAGTCCTCTGAACAGACAGCCACTTAGTGAGAAGGTAATTAATGCAACTCTGGTGATTCATGTAAGAACAGATTAAAAAAATGAAGCGCAATGGCTTCAGAACAGTGCTACTGAAATATAAAATGGAGACATCTGGTACAACCTTTTCTTAAATTGGGAATGTGTTAGCTAAGCTCTTGTTTGTTTTGAGGGGAGTGGTTAATGTCTAGGTTTGAAAGTGTGGTTTTTTAATCACCTAATTAGGTTGCAAGTCATGAAAATTAAAGTACAGAAGTATGTTCTGTGCAAGTATGGAGGTAGTTACTGTATTTCTGCAAGAAAAGCTCCCTTATTGCCATTTCTTGTCTTTGCATTTCTTTGATACCAACCAATGATTCAGTCAACATGCAGGTGTTAAGCATGTGCTGATTACAAAAATGGAAGTTTTTGCAAAATACTTAACTCCTTCAGTAGTCTCTCTCTCCTGCACTCCTCCAGTGCATTCTTGCCTCCTCTGTGTCGTCTGGTATTGTAGAACAGGGATTGCTTTTGGATTTGTGAAGAAGAGTAATTTTAATGGCATGTGGAGCATGTGTTTTGTCAGTTTAGGGAGATACAGTAATCAAAAAGTAACTGCTAAGCTCTGCTATTTTGTGGGGGTTTTTTTGGTTGCGGTTGTTCAGGTTTTTTTGCCTGGTAATGAGGGGAATATAGAATTCATGAAAGCATAGAAGATACTTTCAAATTGTGCTAGACTGTGAAAGGTAGGCAAAACCAAATGTATTCTATATGCAGTTTGTAAATGGAAATTGAAAGAAAAGTGTTTGTGTGTATGCAGTATACATATATGCTATATGTATTTATTGTTTTTTAAGAATGCACAGCGGAATTATCCAATTTTGAAAAAGAAAACAAACCTGCAGAGACAATCTGAAATTCAGAGAAAACAAGCTCCAGCCCTCAGGAGGCCTGCCCCACTAAACAGAAGGTAAAATAACTAGTCTGCTTTCGGATCTCTTCTTGACATCTTTCCATAGTGAGTCTTGTTTGACAGGACTGAGTCCAAGAAAAGACAGTAGGTACTGGCCGTAGTAATATGGTCAAGACTATCGGGTGTGAAGTTCTACAAATCAGGAAGCCGAATATGGGACAAATGTGGTCTCAATACAAAGACAGATACTTATTACTCAGAAAGTACCTCTATTGGTGTGTAAGCACCTGGTATTCTGCCTTCATTTAAATCATAGGCAGCCTGTATGGAAATGGCCAGCGTGGATTTCGGTGTCCCTGAAGTGACAGCCATAGTTTAGTGCACTTTATCAATAAAATGCCTTTATGGAAGCTGGTGCCATCTTCAGTTTCATGGAAGCTATTGCATGTTTTATTTGTGCTGGAATTAACATGTCTGTTACAAATGCATCTTAACTGGTCTCTGTGATGAAAATTTTCACTATGTGACTCTTGTGGAAACTGTAAACAAACTTTCTTCATACATATCAAGACTGCTCCTTTCTTTTCATCTAATCGTCAATGTTTAAGTGCTGGAGCATAGTGAGCAAAGTAAAAAGCAGAATTAATGATCATACTGTCCTGTGTCGTAGTGTGCTAGGTTTCTATGTAACAGAACCAATTTCTCCATTTATGAGTAATGTGTTTTGTTTGTAATAGATGAGAAGCTTATTGCAACTGAAATGTTCAGCCTCAAAGAGGCAGCATTACAGATGTCCTTAGGGGAATGTGTTGGGTGCTTTCCTGACTTTCATAGTGGTGTCTCTAAGATGTTATCTGTGGAGCCTTTGATAACTATATTTTAATAAATACTACAGGAATAACATGCCGTCCACTTTTGCGAGAATTGGAAACAAACTAAATCAGCAGAAAGACACTCGTCAAGCAACTTTCCTGTTTAGAAGGGGCCTGAAGGTAATAAAAATTACTGAAAACATCAACAAAATTGTGCCACAGGTTCTACGCTAAACTGTAACACTGATATTAATGAATCAACTTCAAATATCAGATCTGAGTGGAAATTTCAGGTGGACTGGGAAATAGGCGTGGGTTCTTCTGGGGAAATATAGTTGTCCTTTTCAGTTACTGTAATCCATGAGCCTGGCTTCCTGTTCCAGTGTAGCTAGACTGTTCTGAGGGGCACAGAACTTCTCAGAGTATTTGACAGTAGCTGGAAGCTGTTAATTTCTCCTTTTAAAAATGAATGTTAGAAAGCACTGTGGAGCTTTCAAAAGTTGCCTTTGGATGAAGGATAGAGCAGAAACCTGGTTTAGAAACTGATTATGTTTTTGGTTTGGGGTGGTTTTTTTAGTTATTTTGGGGTTATTTATTTTGGTTATTCTGACTTAAGATCAAGAGACTTGAGAGTATGCAGTGTGTGATAGTGGTGTTCTCAGTTTTCGTTTGTGCCCACATTCTGCATCTGCCATCGTTGACACTGTAGGCAGCTTCTGTCTTCCATACACATGGATTGCAGAGTTATAGACAGGATCAGGAGGAAGAAAAAAAATGAAGTCCTTTAAAACAGCAGTGGGACTTAGTGGCATATTGGATATTATGTATGCTAACATTGATCAGGTTAGGAACTAGCCAGGTTTTTCTTACTGGCCCGGTAACATTTTGATGAATCTTGGTAAAGTGTATGTTTGCTGACATAGTCCTCAAAAATGTTTCCATCTCTTTACTGGTTAAGTTACTGTCATTGACAACTTTGTTTAAATCATTTTATGTTCTTAGTTTCTTTCCAATGTCTTACAAAAGGTAATAGGGTAGTTATCTTTGAAGTCCCCATGAAAGTACAACCCTGTTTGTGCAGAGTGTACAAACAGCTTTAAACTTCTGTTTTTGAACTGCTGTATTTCCAGCTGCTGCAATGGGAATTGAAACAGTATTCAAATCCAGTGTCTGTATTGATGTGTTTTCAGGTGCAGGCCCAAGTGCAGTCAACAGATGATCTTGATAATCAGACAGTAAAGAGAACTCGTCAGTAAGTATTTAATTTGGAAAAGTTCAGTTTGGTTACTCATGTGATTCTCGTTTTAGTTCTGGTTTCCTGGTTATGATAATTGAATGCTTGTTTTTTTTCCCCTGTAGGCATATCAACCGAGTGACAGTGATCCTCCTCCTATTCTCGGTTATTTCCTAAATTAACTTCTGATTTAACCAGGAGGAGTTTGTTTGCATAAGACACTTGCAGGAATGAGGGGGAAGGCAGTAGCTTTAGAGGATCAGACTAATGTCTACCACTCATGGATACTAGATAGACTGGAAGAAAAATTCAAATGTCAGTGTTCTCCTGAGCTCTTGATGTAACTTCCATTTTATTTAATATACATATAAGCCGATGAAGCAGTTTGGAAATTGGCAAGGCAGGACACAAGGTGGACACACAGGTCTCCCCTCATGTACTCTTCCTGTATCATTCTGGGCCTGTGAGGCTGTTCACAACTTGTTTGTTGTTCACACAACAGGCTCTGTAAGCAGTGTATGCTGCAGACCTGCGTTACGTTGCTTCTTTGATTTGCTTTGAGAATCATTTTGGCCCCATTCACAGGAAGGAAACTGAATGTTTTAAAAAAGTGAACATTTCAGTCAGTGCTGTAGTTCTGGTACACCCTGCCAGCATGTGATCTAGCGCTCACCTGAATAGGTTTAGATAATGTAGAAGATACAAGAATTAATAGCCAAGCTTCTTGTAGATGGATTGACTGTGTGTGGTCTCCATACTGGCCTGTATTCTGAAAGCTTGTATGTTCTTTACTAGCCGGTGTTTTGGACATGCTTTTAAAGATACTCAGACTGAAATTTCTTCAATATTTTTGTAAGCGATTTCTGTGTTTTCAAACTAGATGGCGAACTTCCACCACAAGTGGAGGGATTCTGACTGTGTCAATTGACAACCCAGGAGCAATCATAACCCCAATGTGAGTTTTCAAAAAAAGTTCTGAAATGTTCTTAACATAACTGAAGTCACTGTTCTGAGCCATTTAGCAAGTTCCTTGCAGTATTTCAGGTGACCTCAAGGTGACAGCTTCTTGTGAAGATTTTAAATCTGGCCCCTTTTATGAGTATTTCTGAGCTGTATTTGAATAATATCACAGCTGATTTCACAAGGCATCTCCCAGTTAGGAGCTTGATGTGGTGTATGGAGTTGAAGAGTGGTGGGCTGGTAGATTTTCACTTTGTGTGCCTCTTCCAAATCGGACCGTATTGCAGCTCTTTTCCTTCCCTATCTGAATGAAAGTGAATGAGCATCTAGTTGATATGCGATGGTCATAGTTCCTCCCTGATTCATAAAGGTACTGCTAGTTGTGCTTAAAGAAAGCATTGCTGTGTTTGTCTTTGGGAAGTTGATGGTGCTGTTGTTTTATGAGGCGTTTTAAAAATCTCTTGAGTAGCTTTTTTCATTAGTAGCAAGTAAGAAAGGCTGTACCAATTTTAATTTTTTTGTATTTATGGGAATAATTAACCTCAAATTATGCGTTCGTCAGTAGGATTGAGGGATAAAAGATAAGATTGCTTCCTGTCCAGACATTTGCTGTCTGATAATAATAACAAATTGTTATTGTAGTTCTGCCTGACTTTTACCTTCTTGAATTTGTGCCCTCCAGCTATTCAGCCAGCCTGGTCAAATGGCTTGATGAAAAATTCATACCTCTATAAGCGTTAAGGCTTTATTGCATAAAACACATATTCACTGTGTCTTTTGTGATGTTCTTCTTTCACAGTTCCCAGAAATTACGATTAACTCGTACTCCTGTGCCACCATTTCTCATGAAGAGGGACCAATCTGAAGAGAAGAAGATTCCCAAAGGGGTTCCATTGCAGTTTGATATTAATAGTGTTGGAAAACAGGTAAATGCAGTTTCTTTCCATAACTGTGGAAGTAGTTTCAAGTCAGATAAAAGCTAGCGAGCCAGGCGCTTTGCTCCTAGACTCACTGGTGACAGAAAGAGGGAACTGGTGACTACTTCTTGTTTCCACTTCTGGGTCTTCCACTAACTTGCTATGTAACTTCAAGCAAGTAACTAAACTCACTGTTCCTGTTCCTCTAGTTCATGTCTTGCGTGCCCACATGCTTTAAATGGGATTTAAATTGTTGAATATTTTTCAAAGCCTTCTGGTGTTCCCTGCTGTGCTTGAATCAGCAAGTGTGCGTAATTCAGGGATCAGCTTCTTTCAGTTGTGTAACCTGTGTGGAACCCTGACAGCTGAATTTATAAGGCAACCTTTGCTATGCATCTACGAAAAAAAATATGATGACAAAAAGGCTTGAAAGATGACCAGTTTTTCAAAAGTTTAATGAAGACAGGGGATTTGGTGCAGGAATCTTAGTGCTGTCATTGAAGGAATTCTTACAGGGTGGCAGAGTTAGATGCTGTTCTTGTAATCAGCTCCTTACTGCCAGCTGCAGAAAACTACATGGGGTCAGAGCGTCGGTCTGGATTTGTTCCTTCCATGAATAAGCACTATGTCAAAAATAGTCTACTACTATATTGTAAAATTAATGGGACTTTTGGACTAGACTCCAGTCTACTACCTCAACTGGATGGATTGGAAAGCAACCTGCAGTAACACGGTTAAATTGCTGCATTTGTTGAAGTTGCATAGAATCTGTGTGGGGAAAAGTGTCGTGAAAGTTCCCTTTATCAGTCTGTCTGTCCTCAGTTTATAACTTATATTTTGAGTTTACTTTCAGTCTTGACATTGTGTACCATGTGTTCTTAATGATTTCTGAGAAATGCTAGCTCTTGATGTGTAGTCCAATCTGATTTTTAAATGGTTCAGGAAATAAATAAAATTAAACCTTTTTTTTTTTGCTTAAGTGAGGCAATTAAGAAGTCAAGTGATGATACAGAATGAGGAAAAAATTATTCTTGTCTCCATTACTTTGATTAAATTAACCAAGCATCTTTTAAGTTCATGGCTACATGACTTTATTTTTCAGACAGGGATGACGTTGAACGAACGTTTTGGGATCCTGAAGGAACAAAGAACAGCGCTGTCTCAGAACAAAGGAAGCCGTTTTGTAACAGTGGGCTAACCTGACAGACGGACTTGAGCACTGATCCCACCTACCTAAGAAACTGAGATAAAAATGGGCAGAAGAATACAGCATACATCACTGAAATTCTCCAGACTTCTTGCTAAGATGGTGGCAGAGCTATCGATCTTTATTACTTTGAACGGTAAACGATGTGATGCCCTGAGGGGGGGAAAGTGGGGAAACTGATCCGCTGGAGTGGCACCATCACCTGGTTTGAAAAGATTCTGTTGCCCAGCTGATGATGACAAATACTGATTTTGGTTCATCTTGCAACCAAAACACAAACACAAATTTTAGAAGGTTTTTTTGTTTGTTTGTTTAGGAGTGCTCAGTATCTGTTCTTTGACCCCTCTCTTATGGTAAAGATTTCATTACAAACCCCATTTTAGGGTTTTTTAGGGACTGCCTATGAACTTTCCTTTGGACTGCAGTTTGGCACAGAGCCTCAGTCCATGAATATTTTGGTAGTGATGTAGCGGCGTTTTTCATGGGAGCATTGGTTGTACTTCTTTGTGCTTTTGAAGTTCAATTTTTTTTTCCTTTCTTGAAAACTAAATGTTTTGCATCTTCACTTTCACAAATAAAGCTGTTAGCTGAGACCCAAAATATGTAATTTGGATGGAGACTATTCTACTCTTATCCTTAAAAGTGGTCCAGATCATATTGGAGGAATGCTGCATGGACAGTATGAGAGTAATTTATATTGCAAATAGCTCAAGTTCGTCTTCCTCCTCTGTGAATGGAGTATGTCCGTCTCCTGTTTTTTCTTAAACTTTTTGCTTTCTGTTTCTTTTTGTAAGTTTTTTCACAAACTTAATGCAATAACTTCACCTTTTTTAATAATTCCATAAGAATAAATACAACAGTTCACAAGGAAGTCAGTGGTATGGTAGAGTTCCTTACCCTTACAGACAGGATTCTCATCGCGCATACCTTGCCCCAGAGGGTTTTCTCTGGCTCTTACACGTAGCCAGAGGCAAGCAATCTAATGGCACTTGTTTGTACATACCAAAGAGAGGTAAGATGTGAAGCTGATCAGAAGTGGTCAGACATCTTGAAATTGGCTGAAACTGGGGAACGCAGCTGGAGGAAAGCCCTCAGTTTGCCAGTGCGTGTAAGGCATTAAGCAGGAGCACGTGGTCGCTCACTTTAAGCTTAGCTTTGCGCATCAGAATCGGCAGGATGATAACAATAGGCGCATCCTCAGTCTCAATTTATACGATCCCTAAAACTGAGGCAGCTGTTCAGAATTGCTTCCAGACCAGGAATTGATAATCTTAACGCTGTTCTATAACAATGAGATTTAGGTACAGTCAGGTAAAAGAATGATTGGCTTGCTGCATCCAGAAATGTTTGTGGTGTTTAAAATGGGTTTAATTCCTTTTACTGTTCTTGAAGAATTTACATTTGACTTCTTACAGAGTTGGTTTCCTTGCATTTTTATCTCAAATTCCAAGTTAACTAGCATTTACCGGGAACTTCAATGCTGAAGAGCATTTGACAGTAGTAGGGCTTTTGTTTGTATAGCAGTTTTAAAGTCAGAGTGCATCCTGATGCTATATAGTACTTAACCCCTTATTTTTAATGTTGAAAAATATACCTTAGAAGAAGCAAACTAAATGTAATGGTGTCAAGGTTTTTTTCTTAATTACTAGTAGGATTTTTTTTAAAAAAAAGTCCCACTGTTAGAATTTGAGTAGATGAAGTGTTGTCAGTCATCCTGTTTCAGTGTATACATTTTCCATGTGCCAGGATGCAACAAAAAAATTCTTTTGCATCAACATAGATGCAAAACATTGATGCAATGCATCAAAAAATGCTAGTTTGTATTTAATGAGAAGATGCTTTACACTGTACCTTTTGGTATTTTTTGGAGAAGTTATTACATTTGATCTATTCTGAAGCTGTTAATTTTTTTTTAAATAAAAAGTTACAGGTTTCGCACTGTCTGGTTCCTCTTATAACCACCTGGGCAGTATATTGGTTATGTGAATTTTCTGATATCCTTCAAGGGGTTCTTAATGATTAAATTCTTATTAAACATTCTGAAGACTATACCAAAAAAGCAGCCTAATTTGAAGAAGGCTTGCATTTGTTGCCCAGCCGACTGTACTGAAAGTTAAGTGCTTCTTGCTCGCTCACGTTTAAATGTGTCAGCTATTAATGTATTTTTCAGTAGCACCGTCTAATTTAGTGGCTTGGTGTGTTTATGGTAGCAGAGCCCTTAATCTGTTAGCCCCAGCGGTGGCATGCACGTTGCTGGGACATGTCGTGCCAGCGAGACATCGCCGTCATCCAAACCTGGTGCGGCAGGATCAACGTCAACACCCTGAGGAACCGCCACCATCATGGTTTCCAGTGCCGCACTGGCTGCAGGCTTGCGGAAGCGCTGCTGTTAATTGGTGGTGTGGGAAAACAAAAAAAATACTGCCTGTAAATGTATTTGGTGATGTGTGGAGTATGGCGAGTGCCTCGGCGCCTGCTGCCTGCAGTCTTTGTCCCTCCTTCGCAGCTCCAGTCTCAGCAGTTGCTTGCTGCAGGCAGCGTTGGGGCATGCGGTGTAAGCAACTGGTCTCTGCTTTCCCAGAGCAGGACTGGCATTTATTCGGACGTGGCAAAGACTGCGACCTTTTAAGGATTGGTGACATCACGGAGAAAAGAAAAAGAAAAAAAAAAAAAAAAAAAGAGCCCAAATGTGAAGGAGTTGGCACTTTTCCCACCAGATCCAGGGATGTGCCCAAAAGCCAACCTGTGGCATCCCACTCTGGTGGGTAAACGAGAATTTTTCTGAATTTCAGAAGGTATACGGGCACTAGAGCCGTTGTCAAGGGGAGGCGAGTACTCGCGCACGCCAGATCGCTTCAGGCGAGTGGAAAAAATCAGGCTCGAAAAGAGGACGTTTCGGGTTAGTTCAACGACGCGCTCTGTGCCTTTTCCCGTACCCGCGGGCTGGCGGCTGCGCATGCGCACTGCGCGCCC